GGTTTGACACTATCTGTCGTGTGCATTGTTTCGATACATGGTTGAAAAAAAGGGTATTTAACACCGGGAAATGCTTGGACCTCCATGATGGCGCAGTCCATCCAAATTGGATGTTGTGTTTAGCCAGCCTTATCCGCACAGATCGAAAAAGGAGCGGATTTTGTCATTTTAGTTGGACTGATCGTCCCATACCCTATTGTACCATGAATTTTTTTGTCACTATCTACTGATGCACTCGGCCATCTGTGCAGCAAGACAATGAATGAGACTTGCGTATTTTCTGTAGTAGTCGGATTTTTTGTCGCCATGGAGCTATTTAGAGAGCTCCATGGTAGTTATCAGATCTAACAACAACCCTACATCTCTATGCTTCTTCTCTTGCACGGTGTAGACACGTAAATCTGCATGTATCAATTACTCTTGATGCCGTGACTATTTCCGATGAAAGCAGAAACCATGCTCAATTACTAAAGAACCGAGAATCGCTTCTCTTTGGGATTTAGATGACATTCTTGCACTCCATCCTTCTGCGAAATAGCTCTTGGCTAATCCTTCGGTCGTAGGCCGCAAAATCTACATCGAAGAAGATTATCTCAGGCGGCCCAAAATACACGGTGGCTCTACTATGGTCTTCGAAGAGAATCGCCTAAAATACCCTCGCCTGTGTGTTGTTGCTCGGCTCTTTTGCGAGCATCGAACTCACTTCTTTGCATGATACGGCAATTTTCTACCAGTGAAGCAAGATTTTGGGCTACCGTGGAGTGGAGATGCTTTCAAAAAAAATCTTTACGGAAGAAGTCCTCTTACGGCATGGGGACACAACGCAATTACGGCCCTGATTCGCATCCACTGCAGGAGGGATAAATTTCTAAAGACAACGATGAAAATTTTTCCATGGTCCTTATCGCTGAGGAAATCACTAACCTGTGATAAAATCCCTATTAGAGCGAGAGGTGGTCCACACTCACTCGAGAAGCGCCTCTCGTGTTACACCGTCAGCATTGGCAGCTGAACGAAGGACATCAAGGAGCTGTGATCTGCCTATTTCAGCACCACGACGTAGAGGTTGAATTGATTGAAAACGACGATTGTACACTTCTCTCGCGAGCCACGGCGATAGGATCTGAAAATATAGTCCGCATGCTCCTTGGCCAACTAGACGTAGAAGTAAAGGTGGAAGAAAAAGACGGATCTATGACCCTGGCATGGGCTACTCTGGTGCAAAGAGGCCAGAGCGCAGTTATGCAAGTGTCAGTTGAACGAGATGAACTGGAAATTGAGTAGATGGATGATGATGGGCACACAGCTCTTATGCTCGGAATATATGAAGGTAAGGAGATTGTACAAATTCTGGACCAATCAAGTCGAGGCCGCAGATTTGCAACACAGTAGTCACCTTTGATGGTCCAGATGGACCACTCATGACAACCATAGCAAGTACCACGGATGCGAGCGGGGTCGTCGTGTCCATTACCAACAGCAGCTACGTCGGTTTTCTTGGCATTGCCGCTGGACAGGGTTTCCGATATAGGGACTGGATTCTCATCTAGCGCTGCGGATTCTGCACAAGCCAGCTCTTTGCTACTACTGCAGATCAACTTCTATTCACTCCTTCTTGTTGCTGTTGAATTGACTGGTGGGTTATGATAAAATACAAGTAGATTTGGTCGTGGGTTAGTTTCGGGTCCATCTGAAGCTCACTCCAGAGAGTACCCTTTCTACAATCATTGGAGCACAGGCACTTCAACAGAATCACCGATGAGCCCTCCGAGAGACCTATCCAGTCTCTCAAATGAGCTAGCCAACGAATCTCTAGCGACGGGACTGCCATCAGGATGTCACCATCAATCAACGTCATGGCACTTGTACCTTTACATCAACATAGGCCAGGTGCTGTTTGCAGGTGCATACAACATGTGAGGGCAGTACTAAGGGTAGAGTTGGTGTAGACTTGAAAGTGTTCTTCGCTTACTATTGACATGGCGATCCTGCCGTTGAAGATCTGAACTCGTCAGATGGTAGCTTAATCTCTATGATGAATTCAAAACCAGTTCTACATGAAACCAATGAACGTAGCCAAAATGTACGGAGTAGAAGGTGAGGGATGAGACAGATGATATCAGGACTTCTACATGGCCCAACGAGAGCTGCCCGAGTGGAGTTGGTGGCTCAACTCTAAATGCACTAATTACTCCCCATTGGGGTTTAGCCTCAAACCCTCCACAGCGATCGTTCAAAACTCGCCCCGTTCTCCTACCCCTGCCTCCATTCTTCCCAATCGGAGATTCAGTCCAAGTTCAACTAGCATGCTCACTTTCCTATGAACGGCTTCGGCCCGTTGCGCAGCTCATCATTTCGAGCCTCTCCAACTCAAGCGTCGTTTTGCGATTATTGCTGGCTCGATCATCATCAATCATCAATCATCAATGATGACAGGTGAAACCAATATGACAGGTGAATCGGGACCTGTCGAGGTTTCTCGAGCGGTTGCAATGGTAATTGCTGCTCTCTTCGCCCTGGCATGTTGGAACGTCCTTCAAATCCTGGTTTCCATTTTCAACACCTTCCAACGCCGTCGTGGCCTTTACTTCTGGAGCATGGTGATCGCCACCTTGGGAATCCTTCTCCACGCTCTTTCGACATTTCTTCGCTACTTCGCTCTCGCCCCCAATCTCCCTATGTGTGTTTTGATCTGTATCGGCTGGTATGCTATGGTCACTGGCCAGTCCGTGGTGTTGTACTCACGACTGCATCTGGTCACGAACTATGATTGCTACTCCCGCTGGGTGCTGGGTATGATCATTTTCAACTTTTGTGCTTTGCACATTCCCACCACCGTTCTCTTCCTTGGGATGAATCTTGATATCGAAAGCTTTGTCGGTCCGTTTGCCATCTACGAGCGAATTCAATTGGCCGGATTCGCCGCTCAGGAGACGATTATCAGTGGTTTATACATCTGGGAGACCATGACAAGTTTGAGGCCTGTGTTGGCGTTAAAAGGACGTCGCGGTCAGAGAGTTGTTGTCAACCTCATTATTGTCAACGCTCTCGCAGTTTTGTTGGATGCAGCTCTCCTGACGACAGAGTATACGAATCACTTTGACGTACAAACCACCTTCAAGCCAGTGGCCTATAGTATCAAGTTGATGCTAGAGTTCACGGTACTAAACAGTCTTCTTGTTGTGATCCGCACAAATCCATCGGCCGACGTCATTCAAGACGTTGAACAACTGCATAGTGATCTTCACATAGACCCATGCTGGAGTGGGAAGCACCCTGACAATACTGCCGCTTACGACATCGATCCAGAAAGGTCTGATCAAAGTGATCGGGGGCTCCAAGTATCGCCCCCTGTAAGATCACATTCTTCCTGGGCTTCGTTGGACCATCACGTCGGGCCAGCTTGAGAGATCTCTGTACTATCATTTGTTACAATATCTTGCTTTTAACTATCAACTTTTAGATTCCACTAGATTGCTTTGGCTTAGCCGTAGTAACCCTTGTATCTGCAAAGGAGATCATCTTTATAAAATCACCCGTCAGTAGTCTTCTAGTTTCCATGAAGTAGCTGATTTTGGAGTTTCGAGGTTTCTGTATCAAAACATTTGAGTTGCATCCCTAAAACTCAGGTCCTGAAATGGCGATCACTTCTCATTCAAAGATATCTCACAGGATTTGGATAGATACCCGGCCATCGATTGACTTTCCAGGGTATGTGCCAACCGATATATTCCAAAGGATCTTTTTAGAAGAAGAGATGCTCCTGGGTTAATCCTCA